GGGCCCCGCCGCAGCAGGCGCGGAGCACCGTTGTTATGACGCCTGCAGCTGGCTCGCGCCCCGCGTCACTGGCGCAGGCGGCCGCTGCCGGGGCGGCGGCGGCGGCGGCGGCGGCGGCGCGCAGGCGGAGGGATTGGATTGAGGATGCCCAGCCCGCCCGGCCGCCCCGAACTGGCAGTGAAGACGAGCGGCCGGCGGCTTAGATGCAGCAGCAGCAGCCGGCCTGGCGCGTGCCCAGCCCGTTTGCGCTCGCGGCGTTCCGCGCCGCGCCCGACCCCGCCGCGCAGCAGGGGCAGTAGCTGCCCTCCTTTTGCCCAAACCAAATCCAGGTTGCGCCACCCGCCGGCACAAGCACGCTCACGCAGCCCGTGCAGCCGACGTGGGTGCGGCGCACTCGCCGCGGCACACGCGTTTTTGGGGGCACCTGTTGGCTGCGGTGGTGCACCGACGTCTGCTTTTCCCCACATTCGCCAGGTGGCTACCTGAGAATGAGCTGCTCCTTGTGCGTGCCTTGCTCCCAACCAGCCGTCGCGCCTGCCGGTCCCCTTTCTCCCCTCAATTCCCAGTCTTGCGGGGTGCGCCGCACACGTGCCCCCCCCCCACACGCCCGCGCCCGCGGGTCGCCCATGCCGGCCGCCGCGCCACGCTTCCGTCCGCTCCCCCCAAACGAACTCACACACGCGCGCGTCCGTTTTCCCGCGCCAGCGGGCCGCATCCGGCAGCAAGCCTGCGCATCGCGCAGGACGCCGCCCCCCGCGCCGCCTTGCTAGCGGCCTACGAGCTGCGAGTCCAGCGGTGTGGTCGAGAGAGGCGTCTTCGTTTACGCACGGACGGCTGCGCGATCTTCGCTCCGTAATTGGGGTTCGGCAAAAACCAAACGCCGCCAAATGCCCGACCAACCCCGGGCCCCGCGCGTTGCCGCGCCAAGCCGCGCTGGGGCGCCGCGCGCGCCAATCGCGCTGCGGGGGCGTCCTCCGTCTCTGGGTCAAATGTTATCATGGCCGTCAAATGTCATTATGGCTGTCAGGCATGGTTTAGGGCCGCCATCGCCTGCGAGCCTGGCAAAGGTGTGCGTTCTGTGGCCCAGTGCGTGCTACCAGGCCGCGTCTGAAGCCTCCTCGGCTGCACGCTACGCAGCTGCGTGTCACCCCGTCGGCCCCAAACCCCACGATGCTCTCGGGCTTCCGTCGCTCGGCTTTTCACCGTGATTATCTATGCATTTTTTCACACCTGCTTTTCTGCAGTTGTCAGCTTACCTGGTTCACCCTCACTCCGAATGGCCCCAGCCGGCTCCCCGGCCACGGCCCCTTTTGTCGGTCCCCGCGCCGCTCGAGCGCGGCGCGCGGGCTCTCTGTCGCCTGGCGCTTATTTTACCCTCGACTAGGGGGCACAGCCGGTGTATCGCGACTGCGTTTGCACACCTTGATCCAGTGATTTGGCGAGCCCACAAATCTGGGAGGCATATACATTGGTTAGAGCCTGAAATGCTCAGAGCGCGAGTGACGGAGCGAGTGGGTTTTTGGATCGCGACGGTGCAGCAGCACACACTGGCGCGCTAGCGCGTGCGCGCCCTCGTGATGTTGCGGCTTTTCCACGCCTGCGGGCAGCTCAGACGACCTCACGTGCCGCACCGCCGCCGGCACAGACGACTGCGCAACCCCTGCGCCATGCTGACGCCCCGGTTGGCTGATTTGTAACGCATGCCATGGCTTCATCCAAGTCGACAATTCTGGCAGCAGGCAAAGTGCCGATACATGCAGGCACTAGCCGTTAGCAGCCCTGCGATCCCACGAGTGCTCATGAGCGCTGCGGCAGGCGAGCTGTGTCTGGGGTTGAGGTAAGTGGCAGCCCTGGCAGCAGCTGTTGACGAGCGCCCCCCCCCCCCACCGCTTTCTAAAAACTGAGATGATGAGCGCGAGCTTGCATTGTTTGCCCAGTGCTGTCCGCCGTGCCCAGCGCACGCGCCTGGAATGAGCCAGGTGCGCATGCGTAGCTGCCGCGCCCCCCAGGATCGCCTTCCCCGCGCATGCGCCCTGATTGCGCCTTGCGCGAACTCGTGCCTCCAGCCCGGCGCTCACTGCTCGGCACACCCTTGGGCCTGCATTCACCTGTGACCAGCCTGGCGCTGTCAACGGGACCTGTGCAGCTGAGCCAGGGTACAGGTTTTTTTTTACCAGTGTGTAACTTTTTTGGGGAGATTTCATGAAACCTGCTCAACGGGCGACCACACTTGTGCAGCGTGGGGTGGGGTGCGTTGCGCCACACGCTTGTGCAGCGCGCGCCGCCGCGCAGAGCGAGGACTGAACAACTGTGGATTGCAAAGGGTTGCAAGCGTGCGATACGGCCGGGTCCCGCCATTTTGTGTGTGGGCAGGTGCACAGCGGAGCACGAAGCGCGGAAAGCAGCTCGCACGGCGCAGGGCAGGGGCGCCGGGCACCCCTCCTGTCCTCTGGAACTTCATTTCAAGTTGAGAACGAAAACGACCGCCGCGCAGCGCTTGCAACGAATGGCAACCAGCCCTAAACAAGAAATGATACAGTTGGCCGCATCAAAGGCGGCGCTCGGCCGCGGCGGGCGCACGCTAGAGAGGCGCGCCCTGCACGAGGGCAGGGGGGGAGGGGGCGCCCCGCCTAGTGCCAGTGGCCGCCGCCCCCCACGTGGTGGTCCCAGTGGTCGTGGTCGCCGTCGCCGTCGCGGTCGCCGTGGCCCCAGCCGCCGCCGCGGCCCCAGTTGCCGCCGCCGCCCCAGCCGCCGCCGCCGTTCCAGCCGCCGCCGTAGCCCGAGGCGTAGATGGGGCGGCCGACCTGGACGCCCACGAAAGGGGGGACGAAGGGCGCCGCGATCGGCGGGATGAAGGGGTTCACCGGCGCCGGCGGGCCCCAGGGGCCGTTGCGGCGGCCGCCCCAGCCGTAAGGGTCGGCGGTGGCGACGGTGGCGAGCAGTAGGAAGGCCGCGCCGGCCAGCAGGGCCGAGGGGCGGCGGATCGCCATGGCGGGGTTTCTGAAGGGGCGTGGGTGGAGGTTGAGGAGGTTAAAAGGGACGTGTAAGAAGAGAGGTAGTGAACATATTCAGTGGGGCTGCAACAGGGCTGTGCGCTGCCGGTCTTAGTGTCTACTGCTGGTGACCAACAGGGGCGGTAGACGGCTGCTCGACACCCTTCTGGCTTGCAGGAAGATTTAGTTTTGCAGTTTAAGCTCATGAACAAGGCCATCACGGCTGTTTCATACACACCTGGTCGCGAAGGTGTGGCGATGGCCGTCGGTTTTGAACGGGTTCCCGCCTTGAACTTGCTGTTGTGCGCGGTGCGCGTTTCAGAAGACTCAATAAAAACAATCAAATTATATGATAAATTCTTGACGACAGTTCGGTCTCTTCAAGGGCCGTGAGGGGCGGTAGTGTCTCTTCACCTCCCAGGTCCCCTGGTTATCGATACTGCCTGGCTGTTTCCACCCGTAGGGCACGGGATGCAAAGGGGCCGCCTCAGCAGTGATCCCATTTCAAGCAGCTTGTAACTTGCACATAGCATTGCCATTGTGTGCGTCCTGCAAACCTCTGCCGGCGGCGCACCTAGTCCCGGGCACCAGCCGCCCCAGCCGCCCGCCTGTTTCCGAAAGCTGCGCCTCACCGGGGCGCCTGCTGACGCGACACGGGCCCCTGCACACCTATTGGGTGCCAGTAGCACGCGCACACACCTACGGGCCCTTGACTTCGCCACAGCCGCGGCGCACCTTGACAAACAATCTGGTGGACGCTTGCAATTCCTCACGTGCATGTACGCCTGCGCCCACTGACACAAGCACTAGAGCTCGACTTAAGCTACCACTTTGAACATGCACGGCAGTGTCGTCATGCATCCGGCGAGGGAGTAGGGGCTGCTAGTTCGATACAGAGGCTCCACCCCGGCCCATCGCAGTTCAGTGCCTGGTCCCCCCCGTCGCGCCGCAGCCCCTGGTGAAGGAACGGAGCTCTGAAGCACCGCCCGCCCCGTCACGCCCCTCCCCGAGGGCTCCAGAGGCGCGCCGCCGTTCCGCAGAGCTGCAGATCCCCGCTCGCTCGCAGCAGCCAAGCACGGCGCGGCACCAGCACATGCGTGCAGCATATCGATCGGCCGCGCGGGCGAGGTGATGACAGCTTTGCCCTAACAATCAGATGATCATGTAGTTGCTGTCCCCCGGACAATGATATGATGATCTGGTAGCTCCCCCCCCCCCCCCCC